AAAAAAAAAAAAAGAAGCTTTTTCTTATTTATTAACTGTATACTGAACTCCTTCATGAGAATAATCTTGGCAATATCTTTCTCTTTGTCATTGATGCCCAAAGTTTCTTTTACTAAATCAAAATATTGGTATGATGGCAAGAAGTCAAAATTTCTTTTTTGTTTGTTTATTTTCTTTGAGATGGAGTTTCACTCTTGTTGCCCAAGCTGGAGTGCAATGGTGCAATCTTGGCTCATTGCTATCTCCACCTTCCAGGTTCAAGTGATTCTCCTGCCTCAGCCACCTGAGTCACTGGGATTACAGGCGCGTACCACCATGCCTGGCTAATTTTTTGTATTTTTAGTAGAAAAGGGGTTCCACCATGTTAGCCAGGCTGTCTTGAACGCCTGACCTCAGGTGATCTGCCCGCCTTAGCCTCCCAAAGTGCTGGGATTACAAGTGTGAGCCACTGTGCCCAGCCCAGATTCTGGCTTTTTAGCCATATGACTTGAAGCAAATTGTTTAAACATTCTAAATCTCTGCTCCTTTCTTTTTTCTAGATGGTATCTTTCTGTTGCCCAGTCTGGAGTTCAGTGCCAGGATCTCAGCTCACTGCAGGCTTGGCCTCCCAGATTCAAGAAATTCTCCTGCCTCAGCCTCTGGAGCAGCTGGGACTACAGGCACCCTCCACCACGCCTGGCTAGTTTTTGTATTTTTAGTACAGACATGGATCCACCAAGTTGGTCAGGCTGCTCTTGAACTCCTGATCTCAAGTGATCTGCCCACCTCGGCCTCCCAAATGCTGGGATTACAGGTGTGAGCCACTGCTCCTGACCTGATTCTTCTTCTTCTTTTTTTTTTTGAGACAGAGCCGTGCTTTGTCATCCAGGCTGGAGTGCACTGGTGCGACCTTAGCTCACTGCAACTTCTGCCCCCTGAGTTCAAGAAATTCTCCCTGCCTCAGCCTCCCAAATAGCTGGGATTACGGGCACCTGCCACCAAACCCAGATAATTCTTTTATATTTAGGAGAGTAGAGGTTTCACCATGTCAGCCAGGCTGGTCTCAAACTTCTGACCTGAGGTGATCCACCTGCCTTGGTGTCCCAAAGTGCTGGAATTACAGGCATGAGCCACTGTGCCCAGCCTTGCTTCTTTGTTTTTAATAGGGGATAATAGCTATACCTATGGATATAAATCTCTGCTCCTTCTTTTCTTTTTTCTAGGTGGTATCTTTTCTAGATGGTATCACACAATGGATAGTTGTGAAAATAAAATGAAATAATTCAGTTAAGGCATAAGTCCGGTGACTACAATTATTATTATTTACCAGCTTTCCTAATCCTGACTTAAACATTTATTACCTATATTACCTTGGGCTAGTTACTTACCTTTTCTCAATTTCTTTCACTATAAAATGGGAGTAAAAAAAACCTTACCTCTTAGGGTTTTTTGAGAATTCAAGATATATTGAATCTGTTTTTTTTGTTTTTTTTGAGACAGAGTCTCACTCTCTGTCACCCAGGCTAGAGTGCAGTGGCAGAATCTTGGCTTATTGCAACCTCCACCTCCCAGGCTCAAGCGATTCTCTTGCCTCAGCCTCCCGAGTAGCCAGGATTGTAGGTGTGCGCCACCACACCCAGCTAATTTTTTTATATTTTTAGGAGAGATGGAGTTTCACTATGTTGGCCAGGCTGGTCTCAAACTCCTGTCCTCAAATGATCCGCCTGTCTCGGCTTCCCAAAGTGCTGAATTACAGGTGTGAGCCGCTGCACCTGGCCTGAATCTTGAATATTATACATACAAGCCTCCTATGTGCCAGGAACTGTACCTGTTCATTTACATACATTAGTTCTACCCTTATGACAATCTTGGCATATAAGAAATCCTATAAAAGATAATTATTGGCTGGGCACAGTGGCTCACACCTGTAATCCCAGGACTTGGGAGACCAAGGTGGGCAGATCACTTATTTGATCCCTTGGAGGCCCATGAGTTTGAGATTAGCCTGGGCAACATGATGAAACGCTGTCTACAAAAAATACAAAAATTAGCCAGGTGTGGTGGCACATGCCTGGTTCTGTGCTATCCTGGGGGCTGAGGTGGGAGGATCACTTGAGCCTGGGAGGTCAAGGCTGCAGTGAGCTAAGATCATGCCACTGCACTCCAGCCTGGGCAATACAGACCCTATCTCAAAAACTAAACTAAAATAATAAATAGGATAACTATTATTATTTATCTAAACAATTCAGCTAAAACAGTCACTCTGTCAGTAAAAAGTAGACCAAGAGAATTTTCTTAAAGTTTCTTTGAACTTCCTCTTACAGCAGTTATAACCAAGTCTTGAGGTGAAGTACAAGAAGGTATAATAGCATTCCACATTCTTTTAGAGGGCTTTAATTTTCTTCTATTTCTGACCAAGCTTCAGAAAACCACCCACAACCCTCCTTAAGCCTATCATCTTATTTCCTCTTCTTTTATATTTTCTTCTCCTCTTCTTTACTCCTTTTGTCAAAGAACTGGGGAGTATGGTAAGGAGGAGGAAGAGATGAGAGTGGATATTAGGAATAAAGAGGATATGAGAATATTTCACTTCTCCCCCTCTTGTTGAACAGGATATGGCGTATTATGTTGTTGAGGGTAAGACCCAAAACAGCCTGACTTTGCAATGTCAAATTAGGATGCTGGAGTCATGAAATAGATATAGAGTTATGGTATAGGATGGGAAGGATGGTACAGTGAGGTTCAAATAGCATCAACTTCGATGTAAAGGATACCAGGGTTCAAATCCTGGCTCCCACATTTTTAAATTCTGGGATTGGGCAAGCACTAAGTATTCTGAGTCTCTTGTTTCCACCTTTATAAATTAGGAATAATCATCATGCCTATCTCTTTTTTTTTTCTTTTGAGACAGAGTCTCACTCTGTCACCCGGACTGCAACCTCCACCTCAGCCTCCTGAGTAGCTGGGATTATAGGTGTACGCCACCACACTCAAGTAATTTTTTTGTATTTTTAGTAGAGACGGGGTTTCACCATGTTGGTCAGGCTGGTCTGGAATTCCTGACCTCATGATCTGCATGCCTCGGCCTCCCAAAGTGCTGGGATTACAGTTGTGAGCCACCATGCCTGGCAGGGAAGGCTTTGAGATTTTGGGAATATGGGGTAAGGGGAATACCACCAACAGAGAAGAATTTTGAAGAAAGAGAAGAGATGGTTAAAAAAAAGGGTATGCTTAAGAAGTTTTGTTAAGTAATTATTCCCTCTGTCTGCTCCCAAAATATGGAGAAAAATATATACTTCTTTCAATATTTTAAA